GGGGACTTGTCACGTGGAAGGCGGACGCGGGGGATACGGGGACCTGTCACCTGGGGGGGCGGACGCGGGGGACTCGGGGACCTGTCACCTGGGGGGGGACGCGGGGACCTGTCACCTGGGGGCGGGCGCGGGAGACTCGGGGACCTGTCACCTGGGGGCGGGCGCGGGGGACGCGGGGACCTGTCACGTGGAAGGTGGGCGCGGGGGATACGGGGACCTGTCACCTGGAAGGTGGGCGCGGGGGACGCGGGGACCTGTCAGCTGGGGGGCGGGCGCGGGGCTCCGGGGTTTGAACAGTGGGTGTCGGGAGTTGAGGGCGGTCCAGAGCATCAGCTCGAGGTTTAGGCTGGAGTTGCCCAGGTTGGGGATGACCAGGGCTGGGCAGCACCTGTTTGAAGGTGTGGCCAGTGGTGGGGAGCAGGGCGTGGGAGGGGTCGTGTTACGAACCATCGGATGGTCCCCCTTCAACGCCCTTGAGCGTGTGATTAGCAGCTGGGTCCCTTCCTCACTGCTCCTGGGTCCCAGCCCCCAAGGACAGCTGTGCCCGGGCAGGAAGTCAGGACTTTGTCCTTCTGAGATGCTGCTGGGGGCTTCGGCCGGGGGCTTCCAAGCACAGGCTCTCGGGCCAGCCCCCGACTGCACCACCAGGATATCTTGCAGGGCTCAGCTCCTGCGCAGTCTGTGCCAAGGGCTGTCACCCCTTCCCGGGGAAACTGAGGCAGACAGGACGTGAGGGCCCTCTGGGGCCCCGTGCTGACCGCCCCTCACCTGCAGCGCCTCACCAAGCACACCAAGTTCGTGCGGGACATGATCCGGGAGGTGTGTGGCTTCGCACCCTATGAGCGACGCGCCATGGAGCTGCTCAAGGTCTCCAAGGACAAGCGGGCCCTCAAGTTCATCAAGAAAAGGGTAGGTGGCTGGTTTCCAGGCCTGTGGTGGGGGCTGGTGGGGCCCGGCGGCCTGTGGTGGGGGCTGGTGGGGCCCACGCACCTGACCTGCCTCTGCCTGCAGGTGGGGACACACATCCGCGCCAAGAGGAAGCGAGAAGAACTCAGCAATGTCCTGGCTGCCATGAGGAAGGCAGCTGCCAAGAAGGACTGAATGTGCCCCACTGTCCACCAAAGCCCATCTGATGTATTAAAGTGTAACCAACAGTCTGTGTCTGGTGTCTGGTGTGCAGCGCCTGTCCCACATGAGGGTGGAGGCAGTGGACAGACAGAGGCAGGCACTCATGTACTGCAAATGGTCTTTAATCATAATCAAATACTCCCATGTACCAGCTCCATGATTAAGCCAGGATTGGAGGCCCAGTTGGGCCTTGCTGGTTCCTGGCGACCTGCTGCCTGGCTGGAACGCTGTCCACTGTGTTGTGGAGTGGTGTGTGGTCCCGTGGTCCAGGCTCCGGTCACCGCTCCACAGCCAGGCTCTGTGGCTCCTCCTGGGGGAAGGCGATGTGGAAGATCTCGTGGTAGTGCTCCACGAAGTGCACCTCCAGGCCCTCGGTGATGAAGGTGGCCAGGTCGTGGAAGTCCTTCCTGTTCTCAGCTGGCAGGACCATGCAGGTCACACCAGCCCGCTTGGCCTGGGGACAGAGCAAAGGCATGCTGAGCTGTGGGGTGGGCCCAGCAGGCGTTGAGGGGGGCCCTGGGACCTGAACTCTGCTGGACTGTCTGGTGCCCGCCCCGTGGAATCATGAGGACTCCCATCTCTGCTGTTGAGGTTGGCTGTGCCGTCATCCCATACAGCAGTCTGTGTGTTCTGCCCCTCACTCGTCTTAGGGCAAAGAGGTGTGGCCCTGGCTCTCGGCCTCCCAGCCACTGTGGGCCACTGCCGAGGGTCCTCCCAACCACACTCCACTCGTGGTTGGGGACAGTGCAGGGTAAAGGCCACAGGGACTGAGGGGGGATAGAATGGAGGAGGTGTGTATGTGCCCTGTGCAAAGCAGCTCTTGCAGCCACACCCATGCCATACTGTTGGGGACTCCACCTCACCTGGATGGGGGGCACTCTACAACATTCCTCAAAACCTGAGGACCTGTGCAGGGCCTGGACTTTGTGCTGTGTTGTCCTGGGTACAGCCTGCCCTCTGTGGGTCCCACCTTTCCCCTCAGCTCTGTGAGGGCCCAAGGAGTCACACTACTCCAGGCAGTGACACCCTAGCAGGGATGGAGCGGGCCTGGGTACTTACTGCGATGGTCTTCTCCTTGATGCCACCGACAGGCAGGATCTTGCCTGTGAGGGACACCTCGCCTGTCATGGCCAGGTTCTGTCGCACAGGCTGGTTCATGGCCAGGGACAGCAGAGCGGTGACGATGGTGCAGCCAGCACTGGGGCCGTCCTTGGGGGTAGCACCCTGCGGGGGGAGGGAGGTGGTGAGCAGGTGTGGAGAGTGGGTGGGTAGGCAGGGCGGTGCGGACGGGCAGGTGCAGAGGAGAGTGGGTGGGCAGGCATGGTAGGCAGGGGGGTGCGGACCTCGGGCACATGCAGGTGCAGGTGTGAGGTCACCAGGAACTGGTTGCTGGGCTCCTGCTGCATCAGGAAGGCGCGGGCGAAGGTGTAGGCGATGCGTGCGCTCTCCTTCATCACCTCCCCCAGCTGGCCCGTCACCTCTAGGGTCCCATCCTTGTCCTCCTGGCTGTGCCTGTCCTGTGGTCGCCTCAGGGACGTCTCAACAAACAGCGTGGAGCCCCCTGGCAGACGGGGCGGGGCCTGTGAGCTTGTGCCCACCAAAGGCTCCCACCGCTGTGCCCACCACCTTGTCAGGCCTCAGCTCCGGTGCCCAGGAGGAGCTTGGTGTGACTCACCCATGGCGGTCCAGGCCAGGCCCATGACCACGCCGGGGGGCGTCACGTCGTACATGCGCTCCACGGTGAACACTGGTTTCCCCACAAAGTCCTGCAGGTTGTCAGGCGTCACCTCCACAGACTCCGCCTCACCGCTGACTATCTTATAGGCTGACTTCCGTAACACCTGGGCCAGGGCAGCAGGAGAGGCACACAGCTCAGGCTGGGAAGGGCAGGGCGGCCGGAGGGGCACGTGGCTCAGGGTGGGAAGGGCAGGGCGGCCGGAGGGGCACACGGCTCAGGGTGGGAAGGGAAGGGCGGCCGGAGGGGCACACGGCTCAGGG